GCACGGGCTGCAGCCGGCGGGAAAGCCCTCGTTGCCGCATTATAGTCCGCAAACCCTGCACGGTCCCTATAGGCCCCTTTACACCGTTGGCTCAGTGATGGGCGAGTGTTTTGCGGTTATGTTTTCGCAAAAGCACTATGAAACTGGATCTGTCATTTCCAAAGCGCTGCTCTGATTTAATATACTACTCGGTGGAGCACTTTGGTGACACAAATTTGAACTGAAACTGTTTACTGACTTTTTTTTGACAAATTGGAACAAAGGAATCTATGTGAATAAATTATCTGAGAATGAACTATTCGAATGTATCTTTTATGTGGGCACTACAACAAGGGACTGCCTTGTTGCAGTGCTCAAAAACGCATGTGCGCAAAAACTCATAATGCCTTGATTTTTAAAATGTTATTGAATTCTTCTTGACATCTAGACTTGGGGAAGTCAGGAATACTTCGAGACCCGTGCTTGCATACACACGTACACATTCACACGTATATTTACATACACATACATTCACATGCATTCACATACATTCACATACATTCACGTACATTCTCGCACATTCTCGCACATTCACGCACATACACGCACATACACGCACATACACGCACATACATAAACATACTCGCATAAACGTACACACACATATATACATTCATTTATAATTACATCCACAAACAGAGTTAGTTATATATACATCTATAAATACGTGAATACATGGTGTCCCACTACAATTGAAGAATGAGCGCAGCACGTACGTCTTAAAGTACGATCGAGGGCCATGCAGGCTGTTGTCATTCTTCAAACGAGGAAAGCAAATTGTTCGATTGTGGGAAGAGCGCTGCGCGAGTGCGGGCGGCGCGTGGGGAGGCGCCGTGGGTGGCGGCGCGGCGCTTGTGCAAACGCGCGCCCGCGCCCGTGCCTACGGGAGGCTGCGCTGTGCTGCGCGGGGCTGCGCGAAGCGGAGAGAAAGCGCCGCCTCTTCTCCGCTCGGCGTTGGCGCCCACGCGGCGTCAGCCGGCGCGGCGCGGCGCGGCTCCGCGCGTCACGCGCGCTGCAACGCGACCCACACTTTCGGGTCGAGTGGCCGCCACGCGCCGACGCACTGCGCCGCTCAGCCGCGCCGCTCAGCCGCGCCGCTCAGCCGCCGCGCGCCCCTTCCTGCCGTGGGATTCTTTGATTGATTAATTATTTTGCTGTTTCCCGGCGCGACGACTGCTTGTGGCGTTACCACCGTAAGTGTGATGCAGGTTAGAACCCGCGAACTCTCGATGATCCTCTCCCACTGCAACGTGAGATCCGGCGCTGACCAAGTCGCTTTCTCTGTTTCCAACTCCTGCTGTCTCCAGCAATGGGTATCGCCCCAGACAGCCAAGCTTTAGGTTTCCGATTGGTCTCCGGACACGTGCAAATGTGAAGTGGACGTATGTGTGTGTGTGAGAGTGTAAGGAGAGAGGACAAGGAGAAGGATGGAAATATCGCTCGTGGTCCGTGGCTGGGTGCGGCTCAGGCATTCGCTTGGAATTGATTGGAGAAAGCACGGAAAACTTCCGATCGCAACAGCCGGCCGCCAGAATTCTCTGTCAGGCAGAGGATGAATACGGCTTAGATCCTTAGCTAGTGTCGATAATTCGCCTGCTTCGAGATTCGCAGAGAGCGTCAATGAGCTCTGAGCTAAACTCAGCCAGTCCCCGACATGCGCGGTAGTATAGTGCATTTAAGTGCGCACGCGCGCGCGCGCGCGCGCGTGTGTGTGTGTGTGTGTGTGTGTGAGAGAGAGAGAGTGAGAGTGAGAGTGAGTGAGTGAGTGAGTGAGTGAGTGAGTGTGAAGGTAAGGAGAGAATTGTGGACAACAAATAGGTAGGAATGATCGGGCACGACCAGGGCACCTTTGTTAAGGTACCTCTCTAACGTTCGCCAAATATTGTTACGGGAAATCAGGGGAAACCACTTATCCGAGTTCGCCACTAGAATTCTCCTCCAGATAGTGGCTAAAGTCGATGCCCATACGGTGCGTCCTCGCGCCATACTGTTTCGGAATGGGCAAGTTGTGAATAAGAAAAAATAATGAAAGAGGAGAAACGCGTGTTTTAATAGTTAATTTATTGAATATTAAATATATATGAATGTAAGTGAGACATTGAAATTTTTTTTAAAATTTACTTTTGCTTGGCCTTCCGTAATTGTTTACGAAAAATGTACATGTAAATTGCAAATTGATTAAGTATATTTCATTACATAGATAATTTCATAACTGCAGAGTTCCCAAAAATCTCGTCGGGAGAATACTAATTATGGCGGGTCAAAACTGTTGGTAGTTCTTAGCCTCTTCAGAGACGGGTTTTATTTGCCTATTTGTTCCTGCACGGTTGATGGAATCTTTGAAATTTCGGTATAAAATCAATAATATAAGAGTGGAAAATGGACATATATAAGAGAGAGTTCACAATGTAATGAGAAATTTGGTACAAACCAGGATGCATTTGTAATGGTTTGGAGAAATTTGTTTTCGAAAATCTGCATTTTTACTGCTAGAACAGTACGCCAAGGTATCTGACTTTTATTACTGAGAATCCAAGTAATTCTTTCTCATTGATTCACGAGGGGAGATGGATTGTTTCGTCTAGGGAGCGTAATGATTTATCCTTGATTTTTGTTGGATTTATTTGGAGGAGTTTATTTTTGGACTAGTCGAAAAAAAGGAGTGAAGTTGTAAGTCTTCTATTCCTAAATCTAGTACATCTATATTGCTAATATCGATTGTGCTTAGAAATGGAATGAACACTATGCAGCCTCCAACTATGTGGTGTCTGTGGTTTCCTTAAATACCCAGGAACTCGGGAAAAGTTCAAAAACAAATAATTGCTGTTTTATTAAAAAAATAATTGCTGCTGACGAATTGGGGCAGCAAGGCTTCAAGGAAAAGACCGTTCAACATTAAATATTTGTTATTAACATGCGTTAAACAACATACAGCTTGTTAGTTTCTTGATAAGTACGTTTTACTTACGAAGTAAAGAGAAAGTATTGTAATGCTTCGGAAATTTTTCGGCAGAAAAACACGTATTATCAAGCTCTAGTATTGAAAAAAGTTAATAAATCTTGTTCCTATATATTGTACATTACTCCCCTCTAACATATTGTGCAGTCAGGATTCACATTTTATGGAACTTTGATAAAAAAAAACTCGATTGACAGCATTATCTTTCTCTGTCCGTCTGTGGTCAATGCTAGCACCTAAACCGTTGAGACGATGTACTCGAAAATTCATATTCCTCTATCGATTTGATCGAACTCGAGGCTTTACATGAAAGTACTTCACATGAAACCTAACATTATTTTAAAATTTTTCACAAAAATGACTCCAATTTTTTTCATTAAATTTCCTTTTTGGAGAGCAGCGTAAATGACACTTAAAAAATGTGCAGCTCTCATTTTCGTTGAAATCTCTGAATTTTCGAAAATTGAAAATTACAAACTTTTTCGGCGTCTTCCTACAATTTGAATATCGATAATTTTTTCGAAAATAAGAGTAGTTTTTGTGTAATTTTTTCGTGAAATATAAGCAATTTTTAAACAAGTATTTTCTCACAATCTGTTCAAACGTTTTTCTTATTTTTCTCGTATGCCGTAAAGGACGTTAAAAATTGCTGGTTCCATCTTCGGTGACCTGTGTCTTTGCGAAAATTACAAACATTTAATGCAAATGTACGGTATTGATGGTAAAGCGTTTTCCGTACATGAAATCTGTTCTATAATTTTTGGTCTCTAAAAAGATGATAAACATTTTGAAGAAACGAGTAATTTTCGTGTAATGTTTGCTTTATCTTAATTCAATTTATAAAAATATCTTTATTTTTCTCGGATAATGCAACAGGACGCTTAAATAATGGAGTGGGTCTAATGTTCGTTTAACTCTGAATTTTTGATAACTGCCAAATTTAGAAATAATGAATGTACGTATGCGCTGTTCTAGTTCCACTAGTTTGAATTCTTGTTATGTCAGGAACAGTTTTAGTGTATGCTACATTTTTGCCGTGTTCAGGAAAACTGTTTTTGTTCGAATAGTTAATTTATTGTAATGTGATAAGAGAGTACTTTATTTGCTATTTGTCAGCATGCGTGCGTCTTTCTGGAAATCCACTTTGCGTGGTTTTTTTCACCATGAGCTTAACAACGTCTAACACTAGTCACGATTTAAGAGTATATTTTAAACCGCAGCTGTGTATCCATCTCTTACGGTTACTTAGATATGATAAAAATAGCGATATCCACATAACAGAAAACCCATTCTTATATGAATTTACGTAAAGAGAACACTGCAATATGAGAAGAAATCTTTTGTAATGTACTTCATCCAAGGTGTCCAACAAGAATATGGTATATGGCATTTATTCATCTCTTATTATGAACATAAACAAATGAAAGGCAGTAGGGATGTAAAGTTTATGACAGTAAATAAAACATTATTTATCTTGCGTTATATACCTATGTTTGTATATCATACATTTTTTGCATTTACTTTGTTCGGCAAGCATAGTCTAAAACGTGATGAAAGAGCTCGTGGCGTTCTCGCTGTCGTTTCGGCCCACTGTGAGTGCCGTCCGCCTGCGCCCTTGGCGTCGCCCACAGCGCCGCGTCCGCGCCACACCCGCTACGCGACCCCCCCCCCCATGCTGCGACGCGAAGAGATGACGAAACACCCCGGGTCGCTATTCCACCTGCCCTACGCAACTTCAGCTACCACGATTCACGCACGAGCCGAAGTAAGAAAGAGCGTAATAGCGCCGTTAACACGATATTGTAGCGTGATCAAGAGTTGTTCACTGGAGAAGGCAAAGGGCATTGCATTGGTTACGTTCAGGAGCTGGCAAATATTATGTGGGCGAATTTTGTCACTCTGATGGAAAATTCATATCTGCGTTAATTCTCGTATATTGCTCAGGAGCAGAGCGGAAACGAACGACTTTGTCCCTTCCCAAAGAGCTTCCCTTTAAAATACAATAATTTGTACTGATACGGTATTTCTTATTGTCAATACGGATCTCAATATACGCTTCATAACATGGATCTAGATAATCGTGGTCACAAGAGAAATATGAAAACACTTGAATGGCGGTACATGTTCTTTTGTGGAGGGAACTATGAGAGGGAATTATGAAAAGGCATATGGAAATTATATTACAAACCAAGTCAAGTTAACATCTATATAATTAGTAAATAAGTAATTCTGAATCCTTAAAATTCGACAAAATAATCTTGTATTACTCGACCAAAGGCCCTCAACCTTCTTGTCGATCACAGAACCCTTATAATATACGTGGTGCAAAAATTGATCACGCCTGTTTGTACCCTTTGGTTTCCATTATTAATTTGGATTCTAGTTTTCAACGCTTCCATAATTTGTGCTGAAAACTTTCCAACATGACGATTGAAACAGTATATGTATCGGACCATCACAAGCCAGGAGTCAGGGAAGCAATTTAAAGTCTTTTAAAAACCTTTGTATAAAGCGAGCGTGGAGATACTTGTAAGATTGCTGAGGTTGATGCGCGGTCACTACTTCTGAGATGAGTTGATCCATACATCCTCTGTACAGTTTGATGCGCCATTGCTGTCTTTCTGCACGGAGTTTGTGGCATACCACATAGGCATGTGTGATCTGATAGACAAAGCCTGTAAGGAGTTTATAGGTTGTAGAAATATATGTTAGACGAATGTACTGCGATTGATATGTTTGACTTTGAAGTCTCTGACTAGAATTGAAGTAAAACCGATTGTTTGAGTTGGAAAATGGTTTTTATTCACTAATACACACAAATTCATCAAGCTAGCCAGATTGTACTTTTGAGGGTCCTGGGAAAATCTTTTTTTCTTCTTTTTTTCTATATTCATTTGATACAGAGTCCTTTGAAGACTTTTTATATCTCAGAAACAGTAGGTTGTTGTTATTATTATTATTGTTATTATTGTTATTGTTATTATTATTATTATTAGTAGTAGTAGTAGTAGTAGTAGTAGTAGTATTAGTATAATTTTTACTATTATTTATTGTTATTTATTGTTTACATCTGATTTTAATTTAATAAGACTTTCGTATTAACGAATATACGTATAGAATTGTTTTATTTGGTTCTGTAAACTGATCAGGTTTAGTCATTTTGTACGTATTTGGGAATTATTATTGGAGATTATAATGAAAACATTGACAAAAGACTCACTGATATTTACTTTTAATAGATATTTTTATTCAAAATTGTGACGAACGAATTATGTGAATTTATAATGTTTATTTTGGTTCAATTGGGTTTGTGGTACCTCATGGGGCCACCCCTTAGCCTTTTGCGGCCTTCTCTGCTGACACCCGGTCCTCACGCACTTTTTATGCCCCACAGCGTTCTCTTTCCCTTTGTTCCTTCTGTTTTTGTCGGGACTCTCTCCTTCCTGGGCTGTCGCTAGTAGCCTGCAGGCCCAGGAAGTCACCGGAATTTGCCCCACCGAGGAACCTCATAAGGTCGAATCGGCTGCGAGTAGTCGGTTTGGACGCAGTATTCCACGTCTGGACAGGAAAGAAAGTGGTTTATGAATTTAACATTGAGTTCTTCAGCAAGCTAATTAAGTGATTATGTAAAATATTTTAATTTCTACTTTTATTAAATTATAATAAAAAGGTGATTTTTTAAATTATTGTGTATATGATAAATTCAAACTATAGCGTTTTAGAAAAGTTGGTTTAGTAACACTGTTTTGAAAATTATACAATAAAGCTTTTGATTTTATAGTACGATGATGATGAGTATATTTTTACTATGATTTGATTTATATCACTGACTTAAATGACGACTACTCCCCCTTACAAACGGGTTTGTTTTTCATTCATAAAGTACATACTTTGAATTTATGCACAGCAGAAAAATTGTCAGGGAAATATTTTAAAGTATTGTCTTGCTCAGTACTTTTGTTTTTCCTTTTAGCTGGTCTTCTAGACGTGTTACTCTACATAGTACACGTCAATAAAGCCTGTGGTAGCAATGAATTCCGTTGTACAATCTTCAACACATTATTTACAGAGGAACATAGTTCTCTGTGACTGGCTATTAAACATTCATTGCTTATAATATTAAGTGATTGAACGAAAACATTCTCTTTGGGAAAATATAATTCCTCTCCATTGAAAAAAGTCCATTCCTGGTTTCTCCAGACGTCCAGACGGTGAACTGAGAGGCGCGGCAACCCGCCCTACAGATATGTATAACGGTACATTCCTTTAGCAACTTACGGTAGTTTTATCTCGATTCAATTCAGAAAATAATTGCACGTGATTTTCTGGAATACCGAGATAATGATACTCCTGTAAAACATGATTACACTTTTTTAATTTAATGTATTTTTCAATATCATAAACTATTCAGTAATACATTCCTGGTCCATCAGTAATACATTCCTGGTGGACATAATACCCGTTAATTTTGCATATACAATGTAACTTACATGTTCATTTCTGCAGCACAACTGCCATTGATGTAAGACACCTCATGGACTAGGATACTGCTTAATTCCAAATGCCGTTGAGATGAAACTTAATTATAGGAAATAAATCAGTGTAAGGAGAGAGATCATGTCCGAGAAGATGCCTTTTTAGGCCTGAGAAAATGTACTAGTATGCATTTTGTTTTGATAGCATTATAATGCTCTAAAGTTTTGAATTTAAAAATATATAACTGTGTACACGGTTCGGCCAAAGTCGAACAAACGAAGAACAACCTAGACAGTAAATGAATACAGATAAAATGAAAGAACCGTAATTGCAGTCTCTGAACAATTCGTATTCAAAGAGAGGTTATTGCTTCACTTTATACTTTTCATTTTTCCTTACTTTTTGACCTGAGTTCCGACGCACACAATTCGTGTGTTTGTTACTTGCCACCAGCCAATAAATACGTCACATTAAGTAACTATTTAAGTATTATTCGTAAGAAATATGTCTCTCTTACTAAACTAGTTGCGAACAGTGTCATAGTGTCGAGTTTAAAAATAAATGATTTTTTTCAGAGGTGGCATTCAAACGATATTTCAGTTAACGATTATAACTAGTAATTTATATTGCCACTTCTAACAATTTTTAAGCAATGAAATACAATGTTTAAAATGTATTTAACTCTATCACAATAATTACATCAACGTGATGATAGGTTTTGAACATTGATTTGATCAAATATGGTTGCTTGTTTTAACAAATAGAAATTTTATATCGCAGCAGGTGGGGAAGTTCGTGTGATGGATATTTCTTTTTAAACTCCCAAATTTGATATTGATACATTCTATTTTTTTTGTTTTGTTTTTGGAAATGCTTCGGTAATTCGAGCTCCATTTTTCAACATTAAAGATGAATTCATTAGTAGTAGTACACAGCACTCTAGCAACACGCATGAAAATACCCTGCATTGCTCACTACAGAAGCGTATACGGGTGTGCAACAGGTAAAAGCTGAATGGGGTCAGACCGTCCGTGCTGGCTATCTCGCTGCACAAGAGCTAAACGGTAGTCATTTGTTATTAATTACAGCCATAATCAACTTCTCATCCTTCATAGCACATAAACCTCCAGATAATTCTCTGCAATTGAAATATTACAGAAATTAATCACTATGACGTGCGCATATAACTTCAACTACACGATAGAGATTATGAACCTCATTTGGCGGAAAGCATCAGTGTCCTGTTGTGAAGTACTTAAAGGGAACAAATATTAAATATTGTGTTTACGCTCTGACTGTGTTTTGACATTGACTTTGCTAGGCGTTAAGTATTATATTTCCTTTGCCATCACAAAACACTTACGCTAATAGAGCATACATTTCGCAACCTCCCATTTTGTCAGTATGAGATTCGAAAAAATATTTTAATTATAGCATTGATTTTCTTCCTTCATTTTTCTTCAAAGAAGGAAGTGTATGTTTTGTAAACCAGATTTATTTATTCGTGCCGCAATTACGTGTTGAAAATATTCATGCCTCACGAGGAACTCGAGTCGGAGCTATATGAGCGCACCTCTGACGATTTTTTGAAAATGCATGATACGCTGCTCTAGTCACTCTGAGGTAGCTGGAGTGTCTTTGATCAGAAAGCAGATCGGACAAAGAAGTCGGTTCGCTATTTAAATTTAAGCGGCCACTGTAATTTTCTAACATTGGTTTACATCTTTCAGGGTAACGGTAAGAGGAACACATACGAGCAACATAAGGAACACAAACATCTATGCACGTGGTGAAATTCGAACCCGTACCCTTTGAGCCAAGGCAGTCGCGGACCTTCAGCCTTAGAGACCTCGGCTATTCAGGCCGCCGGTTCAATTTTTGTGGGTCGAATTCTTTTTTTAAATGTATTTACTTCCAGTTCGACGTAACAGATATTCGTTACATGCATTCTTGGACATATTCAGCAATATACAATAAATCTTTTGAGGTGCTCTGCGAGTCCCGTCGTCAGATGTGGGTTAGTGTTAGTAGTAAATTAGATACAATTATATTGTAAGCCAGAAAATGCATATATAAAGTTGACATTAACTCAACTTTGTAATTTTATCCAGTGTATAGTGTCGTTTGACTTATGTCTTTTGGAGTTTTTGAAAGATGTACATTCTTACAGTGACTATTTCTTATTTCTTACGCAAATGCAGGTCTCTGTGAGAAAGCCTTTCACTATTTTTGTAGTTGTGTAAGATGTTTTCCCTAAATCTGGCTAATATAATTTGCTTTGCGGTTCGGGTGCGTGTGGAAGGTGTGTGACCGGAACGCCGGCGGCGTGCGCAGGTACCTGGGTGTGGTGGGCATCGACACGACGGCGGCGCTGCAGCACCAGCAGCCGGCGGACGCGGCGGCGGAGGCGGACGACCCCGAGCTGGTGGAGGCGCGCGCCGCGTGCTCGCAGCCGGGGCTGTCGGCGCAGCAGATCGCCGTGTGCATGCAGCACCCGGGCAACCTGCGCTCCGTGTCGGAGGGCGCGCGCCGCGGCATCCAGGAGTGCCAGTACCAGTTCCGCAACGAGCGCTGGAACTGCACCACCACCGACGAGCAGAGCGTCTTCGGATACATCCTCGAGCGGGGTGAGTGCCGCGCGCGGCGTCTGAGGCAGGCGTTTTCGCAACGGCCTCGGCACAGCCCCCGATGACATTTTGAAGGGGTCGATATCCAAAAATGCATCATTGACTGTTTGCTATAATAAATATCAAGATCCCATTGATTAAAACAATTTATTAACTTTATTATTATTTTTACTTGTAAATTACTATTAGGTGTTTTGTAGATTTTTATAACTTCGCTCCTCTTTTGGAAGTTTACATCATTTACATTAATAAAATAAAACATTGGTGCAATTATAATCTTTGAATTACTCTTTGATAACTTGTTTACATTTTTAAATTTGAAAATAGTAATAGTACAAAAAGTTAAAATAAAGTTATATAACTATTTTTGAAACCTTGTTGAATCAGTTGTGTGCAATTATTTGCATTATGATAATTTCGTATTCTGTATATTATAGATAAGACTAAAAGGGGTTGATGTAGCAAACCATTGTTTCAAAACGGGTCGAAGCAAGAAAATTGGTTGCAAGCCTCTGATCTAGCGGTTCGTGTCCCATGCGCGGGTCACCCTCGGCCGAGACGGCCCTCGCAGGCAAGGTGATTAGTAATCGATTGATCCCATGCGCGTCGACATTGAAGGCATTACTACCGTTAGGGTAGTGCGTGTTATTTCCCGGGAAGTGACGGTGTTCCTCCGCCGCTGCCACGTGAGTTCCGGTGCTGATCTACACGTCGACATGCGGGTTTTCTTTTCAGGTATCTCTCCGAGCGAGCCACCGCTCCAGTCGGAACAAGCTTTAAGCTCCTGTCTGGTCTCCCATTATGTGTAACCTCGCACGCAGGGGTATGCGTGCATGGAAGTGTGTGTATGAGTGCAGGGGATGGGAGAAGGATGACGAAGGAAAGATCGTGCGCGTACCTTAGTTCTCTTGTTAGGGTACTGCTGGCCTTGCTATTGATCGGTGAAACCACAGGAAACTATCGATCGGAGCGACCAATCGCTGGAATTCTCCTCCAGGCAGTGGTTGATTTCGAATCAGAATATAACGTGTCGAAAATCCGTGACCGCCAGGATGCAAACTCTCCGACCAACTTTTCCGCCGAGGCTACGATACTGCCGCTGAGATATTTCAGCCGGGTCGCCTGTTCGAATCGCGCTGGCGAGGTCGAATGTCTCTGGGTTGCAGCAGCGTTTATCTAACCTTTTTTGGCGATATCATGGCCCTAGAACCCGGAAACGATTTGTCCGATTACGAATGTGATAATTTATCTTTTATAAATAATGTATGGCATTGATTTTTATACTTTGATGATACAGATGAAAACATATTATACTTTAAAAATTATCGCTGGAATGCTAAGTGGAGACAAAAAAGCATAATTAATTGTTGAAACTAAAAGTTTTATAATGTCTCATGAATACATAACAGTTAATTGTGTTGTTTCGTTATTTCCGGTGCATATTTTACAAATGTTAGAACATATTTGCATGCATATTTCTCCTTTTGTTACAGCATTAACTTCCGAGCCTGCGTCATAGGAGCATAATGAAAATAAAATATGAGTTTTACTGGCTTAACTACACATCTTGATATGAAACGCATTCGTACACTTTTGTATTTGTTTTAGCCAATCGCTTCTTGTCCATGTTCTCTGTTTCTCGGAGTTAGAATGGCGGATGCTGCCCCCGTCAATTGAAATTAAATCAAACAAAGAGCATTGTAGAATACGTAGACATTAGGTAATACATTATAATGGTCCATATAGACAACATACTGAAAGGTAAAAATAATATTAATTACAAAAAATAAAATAAAAAAGACGTGCGAATGTTTATAAATGCTGACGGGAGCAGCACGCCAAAAAACAAGTATTTACAGTCCGGAAGAACGAAAAACAAAATTCCAGTTGTTACGTCCCATACGAGCCGCGAAATTAATATACTCTTTGACGTTGGCCGACGGCACCATAGATCGACACTGTCACGGACTTTCTTTTTCTTATTTTTTCTGCTAGAGATTGTAAATAGTGCCTAAAATATTGCTTGAGCTCTCATGGGAGTGCCGTGAAAGAAACGGTGGAAATAATTCTTTACCCTCTAAATTTCCTACTCTCGAACATTGGACTTTCATTTCTAACGCGCGTTCGTGTCCTTGTAACTGCAATGTCTTACAAAGAACTTTAATATTTAAATATTGTGCTGTTCTTTGAAGTAAGCAAGAACCTCCCCTCTGACATCTTCGTCTTCTTTTTATTGCAATTATTAATGATGAATGTATTCGTGTGAACGAGACTTTTTGACACAATTAAGAATTTTAACATTGCTGTTTCCTTCCCTCACGAGTCGCACATCCGCGTTGCTAGATACTCCACGAATCCCTCACTCTATGGAGAGAAGCAGGATTTGGTTGATAATCCGTTATTTCACGCGTGAAAAAATAGAGCGCAATGAGAAGCACGAATAATGTCGTTTGTTTTGCTATTTGATGTGCTGCCTTGTGAAGCGAAATAGGTGATGGCTGGCAATTGGTGATAGACCTCGGAAGTAGCGGATGTAGAGCAACATGTTATCTTGGAATCATTTGTTGCAATGAATTATTTTAAAACGTCTGGGGAAGAATAAATGATGTACGTAAGAGTGTTTTTCTGATGAAAATTACTTGGTGCATAATTTAATTTTTAAATTCAAAATTACTATTAATTAGTAGTACTGCATATTCTTTCATATCAACCCAAAATAATAGTGGCATAAATAGTAACTAAATTATTGAAGTAGTTTTAATTATGTGTTTATTATTATTATTATTATTATTATTATTACTATTATTACTATTATTATTATTAGTCATCAAAAATGTTTAGAACACTAATTTACGTGCATATATAACCACTTAACAGAAAACTAAATTATTTCGGAGACTGTTGTGGTAGAGTTCTCTAGTTACGAAGAACATATTTCAAAATATTACTGGAACGGAAATAGTAATTTTTGCCCTGAAATAGAAACACCAAATTACATTGCTCCCTTTAATTATAAACTTCCGTATGTTCAATTACTTTTTGAAATTCACTTATTTTCACGTTTTAGGTTTTAGGAAATTGTCTCTATGGGACATTGTAATGTATTACCTAAAGTCTCTGTATTCTTCAAAGCACTTTCTTTTATCTATTCATTATAAAGAGGCGAATAACGTATGTTGTAATCCGGCACAAATCCGCACTTAATGGTAGCATATCTCATCCGTACACAACCCGCAAGACAGGGGCCGCTCTGAAAAGTGGTCGTTCAGCAAGTTGTGTCATTTTAAAAGGCCATCTGTAGCGTTAATGGATGGGTGCTTGTGTATGTGGAGAGGCACTTGTTGATCGTTCGTAGCCGCACAGCGATCGTGGAGGGAACGGTCGGTATACGTCTAACATTCTTTATTTTTAGAAGTAGATGTAATTTCTGTTTACGTAAATATTATGTAGTGGGAAACAAAACCACCAAGAGAGATGTAAATTTCCGTACAGCTGTAAAAGTTGAAATATATCTTACCTCACCCTTTCTTTTGTTCCATCGATTGTATTGATCGGATGAGGGGGGGGTGAAGTGTATAGGCGTGGTACAGTACTCCTTGTCGTATCAAGTAATATGATGGTTCATCCATTTTTAGGTATATTATTAATGTTCAAATTACATATTTACTGAAAGTAATAATATTAAATGATTAAATGACAATTTTGTAACTTTTAGGCAACCTAAAGGAGGCCACAACCCATGTTGAAACATAGTTTGTAGTAATATGTACAAAACTATTATTAACTACAGTAATCTATGTATGACATTTTTAGATAGTTAAAAAATATTACAAAAAAGTACAGACGTTATCAAATGTACATAATACGCCGAAGTTTTCTTAACATCTATGTTTTAGCTCAATATTTTTTGTGTTTTATTTCTGAATGAAAAATTCCCGTAATTACAATACTCTAAAAGTTAAAATATGAAACAATATCAGATGATAAATCTGTATGTTCATGTGCTGGAACCAAAGGAACGCTGTCTGCAGTACCTTCGGCGACCAAATTCTTTTTCGCAAGAGATGACCGCCATGCCTTGAATTTCCTTTCTTTATCTTAATTTCACACATTGAGAGGTGGTCAACGAGTGCGATGTGTGCGTAGGGCCTGCCCCTTCTTCCCGTACCCTTATTCGGCGAATTATCAAGCACGGACCCTACCAAATTAAATTTTGTTAAACCCAAATTTAATGTTAAAGTTTACAATTCGTAAAGGACCTTGCGAACATCGAAATTGAAAAAAAATCTATGGTTTTCAGTCGATTTTATTACGTATTAGCAGATATTAGATGGTAACAGGTATTAGCATTGATGTTTTACTTTTGAGCATCGATGTTTGGTAACATCGATGTTTTGTTATCTATGTCACGTTCCTAACCCCTGTGCTTTGCCAGTGCCATGGAGGACCTTGCGGCGCGCGCTTCAACACGCTCCCCGTCCGCTTCGGCGCTTGCAGGCACGCAGTCACGTGGCACATGCAGGATGTTAGCAGAGCGCGGCCGGGGCTGTGCACTCGTGGGATCGTCGCATCTCGCACCTCCACCCGCCTTTCCCGTGAAAGCGAATTCATGCAAATTCTACGCCAGCAATATTCGTTGTGTTGCATTTTAATATCTTGCCTACTACTTAGTTACGTAGAAAAGTGAATATTGTGATGCTGCAGCGAAAAGGGGCGACTTTTTGACAGAAACACGTGTATTGTAGGTCCGTGATTCCGAAAAAGTGGATAATTCTCGTTTCAATATGGCTCAAATTACTTTCTAGTAAGACATTGTGTGGTGAGTATCCACGTTGTGTGGTGAGTGCTTGATACCGAAAGATTGATTTGCTTCAAAAGTCGGCCCGCGGGAGAGCAACACTAGTCCAAATTTGGTATTCTCCAATTAATCTGATCTAACTCAAAGTGTTGCGTATTTGAAACTGGTATTTTGATTTTTGGGGGTACTTTACAGAAGCTTC